CAACAAAAAAGTTTGATTTGATTCCAGCCGGAACATATAATTTCATAGTGATAGTACACTATTATGTAGAGAGTATTGGAGCTTTCACAGAGGACGTGCCAGTTCAAATTACCAAAAACTCAACTGCAGCAACTGACTTGGACTCAAAATCAGCAGAAACCAGGAATCCTCAAACAAACATTTCATCACACACAGCGCCAACTCCGACGGATTACATAATACCATCCTTTGTACCCATAACTTCAACAACAACACAATCTGCAACCTCTACCATTTCATCCATTGTGCCCATAACTCCAACAACAACACAATCTACAACCTCCACCATTTCATCCACTGTACCCATAACTCCAACAACAACACAATCTACAACCTCCACCATTTCATCCACTGTACCCATAACTGCAACAACAACACAATCAACAACCTCTACCATTTCATCCAATGTTCTCATAACTCCAATAACAACAACATTACATTCCACAACCTGTATCATTTCATCCACTGTAACCATAACTCCAACAACAACAACAACATCACATTCCACAACCTCTACCATTTCATCCACTGTACCCATAACTCCAAAAACAAAAACAACATTACATTCCACAACCTCCACCATTTCATCCACTGTAACCATAACTCCAACAACAACACAATCCACAACCTCTACCATTTCACCCATTGTACCCATAACTCCAACAACAACACATGCCTACAATACAGTCTCAACATCAATTAACTCTACTGAAACACCAACAGTGACAACATGCGTTCTAGGTAGGTAAAAAATTCTTCCACTATAACCGTAATAAGTAAGTAGTAATAAGTAGTTACTTATTTTTTTATGCCGTTTTTCGCATTCGGGCAAGTGTCCATTCGGGCATTTGTCGCATTCGGGCAAGTGTCCATTCGGGCATTTGTCGCATTCGGGCATCTGTCCATTCGGGCAACTGCCGCATTCGGAAAAACGGCATTCGGGCAAATGTCTTTCGGGAATTTGTCGTAGACCCATATATATATATATATATATATATATATATATATATATATATATATATATATATATATATATATATATATATATATATATATATATATATATATATGCATTAAAGTATGACTTATCTTTCAGGTACAAAAGGCACAGTTTTGATTGCATTCTTCTCGCTTATCGCAATCTGTTTGGTTATTTACTTGCTGTGTTGGTAGGTTTTAAATTTGCAGATTTATATTTAGATTTAGATGCATAAAAGCTTATAAGCTTCTATAAATTGAAAATTCGTATTAATTAATAAAAAAAAAACCTGTACTAAAAATGCATAAAAATTACAAGCTTTTTTATAATAATGCACTCAAAAAATCAGAAAATATTTTTTTAAAACATTCTAATACACTACTATTTTAATAACAAAAGGTAAAGCGTGGGTCGTTTTCATTTTTAGTCATTTAAATAGTAGTTCATTATGATTTAATAAATTAGGATGTAGTGCAGGACATAGTTTCTAGTATGTAGATGTAATTCTTATGTATTTGGCAGAATCAAAGAATATTCTGTGTTTAGTAGAATCAAAGTATCTCTACTTGCTAAATCATACAATTGATTTATATGTTTATGAATACACGTTTCAGTTGGGGACTTTGTTTTACGATTAGATTTGGATTTTTTTCTGATTTATAACTGCGCAGCCAATCTTCTTGATGTATTTCTAATCCTCTAATTTATTAAGGATCAATATACTGTACAGCAATCTATCTATCTCTCTATATATAAAAATCAATGTATGTGTGTGTGTGTGTGTTTTTGTCTTTTATGCATTACTACACCTCTCATCACATACATCGTGAAAATTTGGGAAGTTGTTGAGAAAATTTCTGGGGAGGTTTCAGCGAAAAAAATATTTCAAATTCGCAAGGGTGGCGCCCCAGCAGAGCGCAATTTGTTTTTTTTCTCAATAAACGGTATATAAAAATAAAAGTCGATTTCGGTTTAATATTGTTCTTCTGATAGCCATGAGACTTTGGAGAGTTGATTAGAACACTCTGAGGAAGGGTTCTGTAAATTTTTTTTTTATTTTGCAAGGGCGGTGCAACGGGAGGGTGCGATTTTTCTCTATATACAGTAAATAAAAGTAAAAGTCGATTTTTGTTTGACACCATTCATCCGATCGCCATCAAACTTTGGGAAGTTGTTAAAAATATCCCTAGGGATGTTTCTGCCCAAAAAAAACATTTCAAAATTCCAGGGGTGGAGCCCCGGTAGGTCGCGACTTGTTTTCTCTATATATACGGTATATAAAAATAAAAGGAGGCCCCCGACAGGATTCGATTTGGCGCCCTGGTCTTTCCCGTGAGCGCTATGGCGTCTACGTTAGGTCTAAACAGTGTGATAGACAATGGATAGGATGGGGCGTTACAAAAGCTTACTAAATTGAATCAGGCGTATCAGGCTCACATGGGGCGCTGAGGGCCATGTAATACATTTTATTTTAATAATCACAAAATTAACTATGGTTAGACTATTAACTGGGATGTTTCTTTTTGTCCGTAAAAAATCAAGACAGTTTTGTCTCTTTGCGAATGATGCAATTAGAATCTATTTTTTTGACAATCCAATCAGAAATTGAGATCGAGTATCTAATGATAGACCATTAGTAACGCTAACATATTGCATCAGTCACACTGATGTTTAAAACACGTCAAATAATTATTTTACGTGTTAAAGAAAAAAATCCTGTTCATTTGTGTCACTTTAGCGAACGACGCAATCTGCATCATTGTTAACAGGATGCTATTTGGCATGATGGCGCCTGTTAGTTTTAAGGAGCCAGGGGCAGTACGCGGCGCCTATGCGGTAATGTAATCGGGGGGGGGGGGGCTCCTGAGAGCGCCCCTCTACCTCCCTGATACATGTCCGGTCACCGAAGTGTGTTCTACCTTATTATTTCGGTTAGTGATTAATGTACCCTAAAGGTATTTATGCGATAGTGTAGGTAAACCCGTGTCCCGATATTTATGATCCAAGCACAGGCATTGTTTACATTTAAATAACTCAGTTTTAGAAAACAAGTGTCACGCGTCTAAGAATAAAGGATTGGTAACACATTGAGGAAACCCTTCTTATATATTTCGTCGGACTTTCTTCTATTCCCGCGGCAACGCTTGAGGACGGGTACGCTAGTTATATATAAAGAGAGCTTGAAAAGAAAATAAGAAATAATAACAGCCTTATAATGTTGCGCTACGATTAGTTGGTCTTTTTTAATAATATTGCCAATATTTCTTAAAATATTTCAAGTCTTTCGAGAGTCTTACTTTTTTCAAGTCATATAATTCGATAATTTTGTGTAAACTACATAAGCGAATATGTTATTTATTTACATTACCTGACTCACACAAAATATATTTTAAAAAAAACCACAACTAAAACATACCACTTGTGTTGAAAACTAATGATGCCACTGAACTAATTATTGTGTATCTTCACCAGTTGTCGAGCAAAGTGTTTACATCTTGAAATTACTGATCAATCCGACGGTTCTTCTAGTGCTGGTGAGACACATGTGGCATGGGTAGAGATGGACACACACCTTTAAAGACGAAAGCTACACAATCTGAAGTACAATATTTCATCAGGAAAATGCTGGGGAAAAAGTTACACATTTTCAGTTTTCAATGTGTTCATATTCACATTTTTGGATTACATTTTTAAATTAATACATTTATATTTACATTTTATGATGACAATAGTAAAGCTGTAAAGTATGACGAAAACAGTAAATTTGCACTATTTTAGCTAGTATTTCTACTTAATATATTCTACATGGAAACGTATTTGAATATGAAGTGAGAGAACAACTCATAATTCCTTACCAATATATTAACACCAATAAAACTAAGACCCCCCCCCCCCCCAATCAGTTAATGGTAAAATTGTGATAAAGTCTACCTAAACACTTTTATATCCTAAACGGAATTGCTTAGCGATTATTTTATGGTTTGCACAGCTGCAAATTTAGGAATTTTTAATTTCAATTTTTAACATATTTTGTACATTTTATATTGAAATTGTTTTGATCTTCGAAAACAAAATTTGTGCTTGGTTAACAAACCTCATACGATTAAATCACACACTTCTTCTTTTTTTTTTTTTGTAAATTTCACATTCTCGCATAATATACCGAAATTATTTTAAATTCTTTTTTATAAAATCGGATACATAAAGGCCAAGGTGCATAATCTCTTTAATGAACTTTATTTATTAGTTTTTGTCTCATTCTTTATTTAACTTGATGATATGAAAAATACTTTTCATACACGTTTTTTAAGAAATGTGTTTTGCAACCTACCTTTGCATTTTGATATGTATTTGATATATTGTATAACTGCACACAATTTAGTTAATTTTTAGTAAAATGCATTGAAAATTTCATTTTAAGAAACGATACTTAAAGCAACAAATGTATTTATTAAGATTTTCTTTCAATGCTTCTCCCTTTCAAATAATACGTTTTGACATCATAGTTAATTATTGCGTTAATCAGTAATTAGAAGAACTAATCTTACCGTATAAGTGAGTACTAAATTTTGTTTTATTTGTTAAAACAAATAACCTTTCTTGGTAAAGGCCTACTTTCGCTAAAGAAAGATTAGTAAACATTAAAGGTATAAAATATAAAATATTATTTGATGTGGTTTTATTTGCTATATGTTTCTCTTTCCGTCTCGTTTCGTATATATATATATATATATATATATATATATTTAACTCTGTGTGTATAAGAGTGGATTGAAAGCTGAATGCAAATTTGAAAGGTTATCTATTTTACAAAACTTAGATCAGTATATGGAATATTTGTTATTTTTTTTAAAAATACATAAAATCAATTTAAACAGTATACAAATAGTCAAAGTTAATAAAAAAAGAACTTAAAACTAATCATTAATAGTCAAACACAATGATTCAAATTAATGTTTTTATAAAAAACATTCCCATTCAATACAAAATTATTAAATGTTTTATAACTATTAATTTCAATGAAAACAATTGTTGCATTCGGCGGTATCATTATTTATTGATAACATTAGTTATCCGGAGAATTTGTGGTTTGGTAAATTTGCAAAATATAATAGTCAACAGTTTAAAAAATTCAATAATGTGATTTAAGTACAAATTTAGTGGAGATTTGTGATATGCAGCAGTGAATATTTTTTTTAAAGAATTTGAAAAGTAATAACAAACATCGTGAATGCATTTATAACAATTAGCTGTAAATAAATATTGAACAAACTATTTTTTAAAAGGTGCAATTCCGGCTGCCGAATTATTCTCACAGCTTTCATTGATGTTTAAAGCTTGACTAAAACAAAAGTGTAGCTAGACCAATGACAAACACAGTTCCCAAGAGTACACACATCGACCCTGTTTAAGACATAAACAAACAAAAGTGTCAATAAAAAGTTATAGATTAGCTCTTAGGTATGAGATCATGTATAAGCAATAGTTACAGTTTAATTGCATAACTTGAAATTTGATATAAAAACAAACATTATACATATATAGACAGAGCATGTGTGCAACCAGAAGTGACTTTTAGGTTGCTCAAGTTCAATTTGAATATTTCTCATAATTAAAGTTTTTACAGGCCAATAGCAAATACCTGCACGAAGGGGAGGGTTACCACTCGTTGACCAAAAGATCACTTCTTTCTTTCCATTGAGATAAATAGGATTCCAGTCAGCTGTGAAAATATATGTATATATATATATCTATAATATAAGCGGGCTGAGCGTGTGTCAGTCTGTCATCGCTATAGATTTTGAAACCATAAAAGTAAACATCGCACCATGCTGTGCTTTTCAGTGCACCGCAGTGTCTTATTATAAGTAACAGAGTTGGGTTTGTTTATATAACGGCATAGTGCTATTTTATATTTTCCACTGTTTGTACAATTTTGCATAACGTAAAGAGAATATTAAATACACGCACACTGCTAAAACATTTTAAAAGGATCAATGTCAAATATCGTTTTCGTTAATATTCCCAGAAAAAGTGGATACATATTAATAACATAATAACAGTACGGTAGAAAAATCTAATTAAACTGCTTAGTAATTTTGCCAATGGAGGTAATTCAAAGATAAATTGAACTCACGCTAAAAATGTGAATGCAAAATCTGCAAGACGGAATAATTGTTGGAATAATATAATTAGCAAAATGTGAATGCAAATTATGCAGACGTGTAAGAGTACATTAATGTTGGAATATTATTATTAGCATTGATTGATAAAAGGCTATCTTTTATTTATTTTATTCACTGAATGTACTGTTTGCTAATTATAATTTTTGATCAACTATTCTCCATTACTATATTAAGTCATCACGTTCATTAGGTGCGCAATGGTTTTAGTCATGAAACTTTATTGTAAATTTTTAAAAGTACTGAAAAAAATGCATGAATTTATAAAGTGCAATATGGTCGGTAAAAAACGGATATTCTAAATACTGCCTTTAATTTATTTGCGGAAAAGCTAGGGGTTTTATAAAAGAGGCGTAGCAAGAGGGGGGGGGGAGGGTAGAAATCGAAAGTTTGAGGGAGGTGGGAGGGTGTAAATCGAAATTTTCCGCCGGCGCTCGGAAAGGGCGCGATTTGGCGCTACGGGATAGACTGTGAGCAATATGCCTTTATGATTACATTTAAATTGAGTTTATGTTGAGTGTTGTGTTTGTTTTTTCGTTTTTGTTTTTTCTTTGCGTTCGTTTGTGTTGTATTTAGTTTTGTTCTGTTCCCAACTTGGTACATTTAAAAAAGATTTACCGTGTGTTGTGGTTGTGGTTGTGTTGTGGTTGTGGTTGTGTTGTGGTTGTGGTTGTGTTGTGGTTGTGGTTGTGTTGTGGTTGTTTTGTGGTTGTTTTGTGGTTGTGTTGTGGTTGTGATTGTGTTGTGGTTGTGTTGTGATTGTGTTGTGGTTGTAATGTGGTTGTGTTGTTGTTGTGGTTGTGTTTTGTTTGTGTTTGTGTTGTGTTTTTGTTTGTTTTTTTCTGTTCCAAAGTTGGTATATTTTAAAAAGATTTACCGTGGCGGAGCACGGGATGCAGCTAGTATATATATATATATATATATATATATATATATATATATATATATATATATATATATATATATATATAACAATTGTAAATAATACTTTCTGAATACAAAAAAATAAAACAAAAAAGAAACAATATAAAACGAATCATCAGCCTAAACAAAAGACAACACTAAACACAAGAAATACAACACACAACACAACATGTTTTGTACTCTCTGTTTAAAAAAATATAACATTAAATACATATAAATTCACTGTCATAAAATAATAGTGAAATTTATTTAGAGTAGCAAACATTACGAGAAATTATTACTTTCTTATATACAGATATATCTACAAATGTAAATATATATTTTTCAAATTCTTTTAGTTCAATAGTTTTTTTCCAAATATAATACATTATAGCTTCTTGCAATTAGATTTTTTTTAAACATGTTAAGTCAACAACCGGACTAAAATTTCCGAATGGAAGATACTAGTAAAGGTATACATTTTCTGTACAAATTCTATTTCTTTCGGCGGTAGACTTTTATCCCCCCCCCCCCCCCCAATCCAAAGAGATGCCTGGAATAAACTCTGGCACCATTGCTGGTACTGGCTTAATATCTACACTAATAGTTGTTTAGAAGGTAATGTGACTTACCTGGGCGAGTCCGGATGTCAAAGATGTTGCTTGATGCCACTATTTGGCAAGGTTGATCGTAACCTTTCGTTTGGCTTAAAAAAACCAACCGGAAAAAGTTATGACGCAGCTTATCGTTAAAAAACAGATTCGAGGCAAAAGTGTATGGTGAACCTTTCTTGCATGAGCATTTATGCTCCATTGATTGTTCGATACAGTATTCATAATTGGGACAGGTCGACCATATTGGGCACATCTGAAAGAGTTTTGAATTAAAATTAACCGTTTGATACTAACACAGTTAGTGCATCTTCGCCAAAATGTAAATACAATAAGCAACATTTTACACATATTTTCTGTTACATGTGCTAAATATAATATTACAACTACTACAATTTTGAAATTTAAAAGCTGAAACATCCACATGAAAAAAAAATAGCTAATATACAGAAAGATAACATATTAGCGTTTTCCCTCAACAAGGGAAAAAACTACGTTTAAACTGTATGTTTTATTTTAAATTTGATATTATACTGAAATTTTAAAACCAATTATTCTAGTTTCTGAAGGTAAAACTGCTATGTCCCGGTTAGTTAAATGTGTGACCTATTTGCCTTTTCTCGTATACGGAGAAGACAAGGAGTCAAAAATATTTTTTTTTCAAATTATAGATTTTTTTTTTCTTTATATGAAATTAAGGTGTTAGTGTTTACGATTTTTGAAAATAGCAGAAAAAAGATTTCTTGAGATAACCATATATGGAGCAGAACCAAGACCAATGTTTCTTTCTAACATTTTTCTCTTGGCTTGTGGGGGTGCGGGCACTTGAAACGTTCAGGAGGGGAAGGCGGACTTAAATTTCTGGAGGGGGAGGGGAGGATGCTCTTCAAATGAAGCATTTTCTATTTAAATTTTATATATTTTCAACCCCCCCCCCCTTAGAAAACAAAACAAAAAACACCCAATTTAACTGTGGCTTTTCATTCTAAATAAAACCAGCAATTAGACTGTGTTCAAGAAACTAACTACAAGACATTGTCCCGACTCACGTAAAACCACATGCCTTCCTCCTCATTACACTCTTTAAGAGTTTTAAGGATGCAATACTGAAACTCCAGAGTGACGCAAGGTTTGATCTCCACTTCCGGGGGTAGAATCTTGTAAGGCTGCCAAAAATGGCCATAGAGTCGCCCCGTGTACCGGCAGTAATAATTGATACAGTCCCTTTCCAGGCCTAGTATAATCGCTACAAACGATTCATTTGTGCACAGGACGACTGTAGAAGTAGGGTAAAGATACAGTTTATGGACAAGATTTGATCAGTAAAGGATTCTGTACAACAACCTTCATATAAGCGAAAGTTTTGGGTAATACAAAAAAAAAATAATTTAATCTGTGATAACCTCACTATAACTGATGAAAAGTGAAATTTCGTGGAAAGAATGAGGGCAAGTTTAAATCCGCTAATAAACATATGTTTAGCATATTAAGGAATAAGAAACAAATGAACAGACAATTAACAGGAAGAGATAGTAGACAAATCAACAGAGGTAAAATATTATCAGTAATAATTAGCAAACCAATCAACCATGGGCCAACAACCAATCAAGAAGTAAATACAAATTAACAAAGGTAAAATCTTAACAGTAAGAATTAGCAAACGAAACGAATTAATCATGGACCAACAACCAAACAAGAAATAAATACAAATCAACAGACGCAACGATTACCTGGAAGAAATAATATGTAAACTAATGCAAAATATTAACAGTAAGAAATAGCTAAAACAAATCAACAAAGACAACACCTTACCAGGAAGAAAAAGCAAACAAACTAAGGATATCAGCCTCATATTTTAATGCTGATCTGTTGAGCCTTATAGCTTAGCCATCTGCAACCAAAAATAATTACTTAAAGGGACTTCTTGTATCATTATATTTTCCGCTAATACAGTTTTAGAGCCAGAGTTAAGATGTCGATTGTACCTTTACACCAATCGGCGACCTAAACCAAATAGACTAGACACATTACAAAATTTCGTTCGTACAATGTCAATTAGTCGGACCCATAAATATAAGAACTATTTTTACAATTTGCTAAGCATAAAACCTAACGTTTATATCTTATACCATTATAAATACTAAACATAATTTAAAGCTTTGGTATAAAAACTTAACAATTTAAAAAAATATTGTCTAGATAAAGTTATTCAAAATAATCATACAATAACTATGAATAAGCCTGTACATTGTATTACAATGTACGTCACTCCAATTAGAGATCTACTACAATAACCAGATCATTTACCACAGACAATGCCCTTGACCCCATATCATGACACACTGACCAATTACCTACGTGAAAAATACACTCTGCTAATTACTACTCCTCGCCCTTTTAAAGTATACTTCCCTATACCTATCATCATTTGTATCTACCTCCATATCAAGATTCTAATTCATATCCCTAGCCATAACATTAAACAACAACTTATATCCTTAACAAAAACATGTATTATCAAATTGCAAGCATAAACCTTAACAGTAACCCATGACCGATCCTTATCCTCATTAGCATACTTATCCTCGAACTTCTCCTTCACCTTATCGACCCTATAGTTGACCTTATCCTTGATCCTATCCTTGAATTTGTATCCTTAACAAACAAAATATCTTAATCCCTAGCATTAACCATAACCCAATCCCAAATCTTATCCTTTTTTGGTATTCTTATTCTTATCTTCGACCTTATCCTTCACCGTATCCTTTACCCTTTCCTAGGCTTCGTCCTTGACCTTATCCTTGGAATTATAATTGATAATATCCTTGACGTTATAATTTACCTTATCCATATCATTACACGCTTCCTTATGCTTTATCCTCACTTTATCTTTGTCTTTATCCTTACTATATCTTTGACCTTATCCCTCACCTAATCATTATCCTATCCGTATTGTTATCCTCTTTCTTTTCTGTATCCTTATCCTTATACTCAACTTTATCCTTAACCTATCAATGTCCGTATATCTTTATTTATAAATGACTATAGCGAATGAGACGGGAGGGTCATGTTATACCTCATATATTTGAGTGGGTTAAAGTAACAAGGGGTAATTAACAAGGGAAATCACTGATCTAGAGCTTAATGACGTGGGGAATAAACGGGGAGATGACAAGGGATTGCTGGCCCTTCTCCATCAAAAATAAAAATATAAAAAAAAGAAAAAATTGAATCCAGTGTTAAAATTATAAATTTATATTGAAGACTGATGTTCTTTTTATTTGAGATGTTTATTTAACCCAATCTAGATCTAGATCTTGAAACAAAGTCTAGATTCTCTAGATTCTACTTGATTTTAGATCTAAAACTAATCTAGATCTAGATCTAGATCTAGACTCCAGATCAAGTTAAATTAATTAGTATTACTTTGATATCAAGTTTAAAGTATGAATTTCAAAAAATAAAAATAAAAGCTTTCAAAATAACTTGTCACAGTATACCAAATACCTACTTACCACTGCAACATCTGTCTAAATTATTAGAATTTCTAGCTGTTAAATCATATCTCTTGTTGTTCAAAAACACAAATGGACTGATCTTTCATGTTGTTCATAGGCCACACAGCTTTACTTCAGTTAACAATTTAGTAAGAGTTTTAAAATGTTTGGGAATCTCCGCTAACAATTTGACGCGCATTTTAAATAACAATTATAATAATATAATTTTGTATTAAGATCTAGGCTCACTTAGATTAACGTTAAAGTTTAGCTGAGCAAAGAAAAAAACATTGTGTTAGTTATCTCTCTCTCTCTCTCTCTGTCTGTCTGTCTGTCTGTCTGTCACTCTCTCTCTTTCTCTCTCTCTCTCTCTCTCTCTCTCTCTCTCTCTATATATATATATATATATATATATATATATATATATATATATATTTATATATATATATATATATATAAAATTCTCTACGTCACCCACCCAACCATGCGGGATATAACGCACGCACGCCGACTCTCTAGCCCTCCTCCCGCCCCCTACATCGCTCTCCAGGCATGCGCAACAGTGTGTACCCACCCACCCCATTTGGACAACTGTCTTTCAGGAAGTCTTCATCCGTCACTAAACAGTGGCGAATGATACGCCTCGGGTCGGCTCGTATAAATAAAATTGTATGTTTCACCTCAAATAAATCACTTAGTCTTCATATCTTCCTGTTGAGCGTAATTTAGAGACGAAACTCATAGTCTCCCAGACCTTGGCGAGTCTCTTGTATTAATGCCAGGTTTAATACAGTGTGTGCGTGGTTTAGAAAGCTGATAGAATTAAATGTCACATTTTAAATTTCATTTGTATATTTCACATACATATAATATAAATTGCATCACGTTATTAAAGTTGCAATCAAACATCGCTATTGCGTTCATAACAATTAACTTCATAAAAATGTGAACTAACTATATTTAAAATTTTACAATTCAGGCTGCGAATTTTTCTAACAGCTTTCATCGCTCCTTAAAACTTGACTAAAACAAAAGTGTAGTTAGACCAATGACAAACACAGGTCCCATAGCAGAGGCGTAGCGACCCTTCCCGGCACCCGGGGACAAACTTTCGATTTGCATTCCCCCCCCCCCCTCAAACTATCGATTTGCAACCCCTTCAAGCTTTCATTTTTATTTTTCCAACCCATTTTGGCACCCCCTTACGTCGGCGCCCGGGAACATATGTCCCGTTCCTCCACCCCCCCCCCCCACCCCTCTCTCGCTACGCCTCTGTCCAATAGTATATAGCTTTAGGGTGTTGGGAAAATGACAGACGCGAAAAGCGAAATGCCGAAGAAAATGCGAGACACCTGCAGAGTCACGGGTAAAATGCAAGGGAAAAAATATCACGTGATCGACGGGTTTCGGGCTCTTTTCGCAGTTTACCGCCTCGCCATTTTGCTGTTCGCGTCTCGCAATTTCCCACACCTATAGAATTAAGACATAAAATAAACAAAATTGTAGCAAGACCAAAGACAAACACATTTCCCATTAGTACACACATCAACCCTATTTATAACAAATAAACAAAAGTGTAATAAAAAAATTACATTCTTGATGAGGCCACTTGTATTTTCGTCAAAAGTAGAATAGCATTATGTATGACAGCAGATTCGGATTCTAGCCCTATGGTACTGCAAGGCCTGATTATCTACCCTTACATATTAGCAAACATTTTAATTATAAACATTGCAATCATTTCTGTATAAGAATGATTTGTAATTGGAGTTGTTCCTTCGACGTAGTCTTATTTCTTCTTTCTTTCAGCCTGTTTTCCAAATAAGAACAAACTACAAGGCAGCAGGGTTCGAACACGAGACTTTACGGCTTAGCAAACATGAGCTTAACCGACTCGAAAACTCGAGTTCGAATCCGAGTTCAAGAAAGTAGAACGTCCTTTAGTACACCCAACTCGAAGAGTAACTAACTCACGTTGAGGAAAGTAGAAGAGGGTGTGCATCTTCATATGCCGAGGACTCTGAAAGAGATTCACTCTACTTCATCTGCCCCATGTGTCTTGGGCACGAACGGGTAAAAGATGAGGATGATGATATTAATAAAGTAAGAAAGAACAGTGCTTAAATTAAGCCACAAAAAAATGGTTTAAACATAAATAAAAACATGTGTCATTCTCCCTATAAAGAACATTCACCCAAGTTAAATAAATTTTGTCATTTTAATTGTTGTTTCCCTTAGTAGTTAAACTACGATGCGTGTCTCCAACTTCTACGATACAAATTATACTAGTTACGACCATATTCATATAAAATAAAACAAGTTAGGCGCAGATGGAAGGTTTATTAACTTTATTTTTTTTTTAAATTATTTTTTTATTAACTTATTTATTTGCTACTTTTTTCTTGTTTCGTATTGTAGAGAGCAATATAGCTATAGCATAATTATATTCCTTGGTAATATTACTCCCTCAATAATCGCTTCCGAAACATAGACATCGTGACTCGAGGGGAATCGATTCCCCGAATATATTATGTTTTTTTCTTGGAAGGTATAACTATATAAACCGCAGAACCTCACCAAAACACAATAGTGCCAAGTTCAGGCTCAGTGGCGTCGCTAAGGCGGGTATCACCTGGTGCGGAACTTCGTGGTGTCATCCCCCCCCCCCCCCAAGAAACAAAGTATGTTTATATTATATATATATATATATATATATATATATATATATATATATATATATATATATATATATATATATATATATATATATATATACCTGGCTATAGTCCACACATCTCTCATGGGTACCTGGCTATAGTCCACACTTTTCTCATGGGTACCTGGCTATAGTCAACACATCTCTAATGGGTACCTGGCTATAGTCCACACATCTCTCATGGGTATCTGGCTATAGTCCACACATCTCTCATGGGTACCTGGCTATAGTCCACACATCTCTCATGGGTACCTGGCTATAGTCCACATATCTCTCATGGGTACCAGACTTGAATACGCCTAATTTTGATAAGGACCTGACTAGCTTTATTTAGAACTTGTCTATACGTCAAATTATTTATATACAACTTTGTTTTGTTCACTTAGATGAGAACCTAAACCCGGAAATAAAATACAACGTAATCGGATATTATTATTTTCTAATCTTTTAAAATAAAAGGAAAGTAAGTTTCGGGCTAGTGTGCTATCTTGCATTTGTAACAACTGTCGCATTCGGGCAAATGTCTTTTGCGAAAACGTCCGGCTAACCTATGAAATTTTTTGAAGTTGAAAATACCCCAACGAAGGATTCTGCGAAAAAAAAGAAATCGAAGAATAATCGTCCAGGCAATGTGCGTGCAATTGGATGCAAGAGTTCCCCAGTGGCTATCTTAGTATCATGGATCTGTTGATTGGGCGTCAGGGGCAAGGAACATGGGTACTACTTGATTAATCGGCCAAAATGGTCCAAGCGTATTCGTCGGCGCCCGCCGGTAGGGCGGCCCGGTGCACCCCGTACTTCCACGTGAGCACTATCACACTCACGTTCGTTTTAAAGTGTACCACACACTTGGGAGAAAATGGGCTATTATAATCGTAGCCTCGTCCGCCGGCGCTCCGGCAGTTATATACATTTGGGATCTCCGAGTATCCCAACAGCTACCTTAGTACAGGGGATCTGTTAATTGGGCATCATGCAAAGGGTTAATAGGTTTTAGTTAATTCAACTGTCAAACTGCAACAGAGACGGCCTCCGCCGAAATGACAATCAAGTAACGCGGATAAACCCCTGCATCACTATGGGCACTATGGTGACTACATTTGTTTTAAAGAGTACCCTACACTAGAAGCATGGTATTCTACTACATTCGATGACTAAACCAAACCAGGGTTCGCACCAGGTGCCCGTATTGGTAGTGTAACCTGTGGTTTAGATAACGCCTCGGGACGCCTCTGACACAAGGGCAGTCGCCGAGGTGTGTTGTACTTCAATATTATATAGGGTGATTAACGTACACTCAGAGATTTTAAAACATCACTCACTAGGGAATCTGGGCGGTAGTGGGGACAAACCAGCGCACCAGCCGCCAAGATCCAAGAAACGTGGCTCCTCTTTGTTTACATTAGAATAACTCCGTTTTAAAAACAAGGCTCTAAAACTACATGACAAGGAGTTTTTAATTTTTCGATAGAAACTGTTTTGCTAATATCAAAAATATGATTAGATACTGTCCATTTAAAAAAAATCACAGCCTGTGTTTCTATCATTTCAGGCCGGTGCCATGGCAACAAATCAGACAAGTTTACCTCGCTTCAGCAGGATGGTGTATATTTTCGATGTCCACAACTGCGTGGATCTTAGGACGTTGGTCTCAGCAACAACAGAAGAAATCCGAGATGCCCGCATACAGATAATCCACTACAACATATCATCTCCACTGCAAGTTAGAGTCACCCGCGGTAAGTGTTAAAGTAATAGTAAGGCACCATAGCAAATATAAGAAAGGGAGGGGTGAGAAAAAAATGTCACGTTTGAGATATTGCCGGTAAAGAAATGTTTTACTGTAGATCCTGACCATTGTTTTATGGCCTGTAGTCAGATACCATTAGAGCGTTTAGAACCAATGGACGCGAACTGAGAGCTTAACGCCTACGTTAGCAAGCAAATGCTCCATCGTCGGTTGAACATTCCTGAAGTTAAGAAAATGTATAGGGGCCTACAGTTTAAATCACTTTTTTACTTGAGATTCAGTTCTGCTAAAATAATTATAAAGTTAAAAAAATTAAATAGATACAATAAAAATCATCTTGAAGCTATGTCTTGATTACGACATGTAAGCACGTACCTAGGGTACAATATGGGAAGGGAATCAACACAAACCGACCCTATAGTCATGTTTAGTAAAAACCATCAAATGATTTTAAACATTTGTGGAACAATCTTCCTAATAAAATAAAACTATCTAGATCTGAAAATATATTCAAAACTAAACTTAAACAACAATTATTTAATGACCTCTCTAACTGACTCATTGAAACATTTCTCTTTCATCTATTATATTCCTATTTTATCTCATCTTGTATTTTAACTATCTAATATTATTTCTTTATTCCAAATTTTTATTGCTATGTTACTGC